GGCTTTAATTAGAACCCTTGGTAGGGACAGGAGGATGATAAAGGAAATGAAGGGGGAAATTCAACTTTCCAAACCCAGAGGAAGCAGAAAATACTAATTTGAGGGAACTGTGCGTGTGTATGAGGAAGAATCTGAAAAGAATTAAAATAGAAGCACAAACCTGAAAGGGAAGCAGGTTTGGGGGACACAACGGAGCTACATCTAGGGACCAGCCCCGCTGAGTCTTTGCTAGAACTCTTGGGGAACGCACCTCAACTTTCAGAGCCGGCCTTGGGAGATTCAGCAGGGGTGTGGGAGGGTGGAGTCCAGACATTGGTTCTACGCCTGTTTCTCCATTTAATAGTAGATTCCATTCCCAATAAACCCACTGCCATAAATTGAAAATATCATAATTGGGAATATAATTGATCTACCGAGCTGACCGGAAAACATAGTGGGGCCACCCAGTTCACTGTAGGGTGTTGAAATCCTTTTATGCTGGTGGGGTTGGCAGTGAGCTGAGGCTCTCGCTGTCTGTTGTTGTCTGGTACCTGAAGGAAAGCCCAGAAAACAGGTTCAAATCCCCAGTCCACAGTACAGTTCCTACTCAGTGCACTTGACTTTTGTCGCTTAGGAAAGTTGAAAAATCAAACATCAAACCATCATAAGTCTGGGGATGCCTGTGCTGTAATATTGAGTTCAGTATTCATTATTGGGGAAGAAAATGGGTTCCAGGATCTGGCCAGCTCTTCTCTCAAACACAGCTCAGAGGCACACACCATCCATCTTTGACAGTTCCAGTGTTCATTTCTCCTTGAGGGAATTAACATTATGAAGAATAGCTATAATTTGTTGATGGGCAAATAGTATTTTAAGTACTTTAAGCCCATTACCTCACTTAATACTGAGAAAATGTCCACAGGGGGTGGGGGACAGCATGATCGTCCTCATTTTACAGAGAAATAAGAAGGGGCTGAGACAGAAGAATAAGCACGTTCCTCCTCCTTTATCATGTTTCCTTTTGAGACAGGATCTCGGGCTATCTATCCTTGACTACACCATCTACTTCAAAATAGCCTCCAACTCAAAATCCTCCTGCCTCAACTTCCAGAGTGCTGACTACACTTTAGTCTTAAATGACACGAAACTATTCTGCTTCCTGTTTGCCTTTTGCCACTTCCTTCCTAACAACACCTTTGAGATGCCCCATTGCTTTTACACAGATCTGGAGCCGCATAGCCATGTCACACAGAGACAGCCGACTAAGAACGGAACAGAACACATTTCCAATGCTCTAACCTGGTAAAGGGTGCTACCTGCAGTGAGGTTTTGATTACATGGAAATGATAAGTATGGACGACTTGAATCTTGCTTGGTCTGGTCAGCCGCTTCCTGTGGTTCTTGAGAGATGGACACACACCATGGATGACCGCAAGAGACTATACGGCC